TTGCTGCCATGGGGTTTGCGCACATTCTCAGAGTGTACAGGCCTTTTCAATGGCAAAAATCCAGCAGTGTCTTCTGCCATCCAAGCCCCCACTGGTTTTTACAGCCAGAGGTAATGGAGGTTTATCTTCTTGGTGCTGGAACCCTGGGCTGTATGGTCTGGCCAAAGGCTGGGATTGCTCACTTCCAAGGTATCCCCCTCTCCGATTTTTATACAGCACATCTGAATGTGGAACCATCCATTCTGCCTCTGCTCCAACTGCCTCTCCACACCACACTGCCCCTCCTACCTGTCTGGATGAATATGGCTTCTTGAAATCCTTGGTTGTCAGACTTCCATACAGCTCGATTTTCTGATGGTTCTGGGTGCTTTTTGTTTTTAAAATCTGGTTGTAGTTCTTCCTATGGTGTCTATCTACACCTCCATCTTGTTTGGAAACCTCAAAATATCTTTTTTTAAAATATGAAGCCTAGTTGTATAAGTGCTATCAGCTGGACAATAGCATACCCAGAAAGAGCAAAACGTAAAAATATAGGAAAGAGACTATTTGAAAAATAAGTGAAACATATTTCTCAGAAGTAAAAAAATAAGTTTCATTTTGAAAGTACCAAATATAAGAAATGAATAACAGCTAGACACTGTACAATATAGGCAAATCTAAAAATATTAAATACAAGTGAATATTCTAAAAACTTTTAGAGACAATTGCTATTACATACATATAAACAAGGATTAAATTAATATCAAAGTTTTCAATAGCAGTGGATACAAAAATAAAAAGACCTACATTGAAAATTGTTTTGAATGGTTGCAAGGGATATAAAAAGTAAAGTGATTATATGTCAGTAAGTTCTTGTCTTAATAAATATAAAGCTAAGGGGGAATAAATAGTAATGGAAGGAGACTTGACTTGTGGTGGTGAACACACAATACAATGTACAGATGATGTGTTGTGGAATTGTACCCCTGAAACCTATATAATTTTATTAAACAATGTTACTCCAATAAATTCAGTAAAAAATAAATATAGAGCTAAGACCAAAGAAGTGAGAAAGAGCTGGTGTATATGTAAAAATTCAGACTTTAAATTCTGTTAAAATTCATACTCATAGTGGTTATGTTATGTATTAGTAAGAAAAACATAAGTTAAAAATCTCAAAAATGTGCAAGGTAAAAACACAGTGCTAAGTAACCATTCGGTTAAAGAAGAAATAATGTGCATATAAAAACAACCAGAACTGCATGAAAATAGAAAAGTGTTACAGAAAAATAAAGGGTGCAGCAAAAGCCTTACTTGGTTTAAAAATTTTATATCCTTAAATTTACACAAGATAGGAAAAATGGGTGAATATTACTAACTATGAATTTAACTTTTTGGTGAGGAGAATAATACAGTAAACTCAGAATAAAAATATAGTCAAGAATAGAAATCAATTAACTACAAAACAAAGATAAATTAGAGAACAACAAAACAAATGTTGGTTCTGTGAAAAAACTAAGTAGACAGTATCTCAAAGGGCAAAAGCAATATCATGAATGAAAAAGGGAGCATAACTACAGATAAAAACAAGTTAAAGATGATATCAACAATTATATAAGAATTTTGAAAACTTAAATAAATAAATTTCTATAAAAACATAATTATCAAAATTGACTCAAGGAAATTTTAAAAACCCCAAATTTCTGGACATGATTAATAAAACTGAAACAATAGTTTACAGTCTCATGAAGACAAAATCAGACCCAGATGACTTTACTGGCTAGCTCTATGAAACTTTCCAGTAATTGTTATCCTAAATATTACATAAACATTTTTACTGTGGTAAAATATACATAACATAAAATTTACCGTTTTACCTATTTTTAAGTCTACAGTTTGTGGCATAAAAGTGTATTCATCTTATTGTACAACCATCACCACCATCCATCTCCTTTACCTTCCCAAATTGAAATTCTATACCCATCCACCCTCTTTCTAGCCCCTGACAACTACCATCCTTCTTTCTGTATGAGTTTGATTACTTTAGAAACCTCATATTAGAGGAATCCTACAATATTTTTCCTTACATACAAACTTCTTGGGGCATTTGAAAGAAGGAATATTTCTAGCTCTTATTGAGGTCAGTGAAAACCAAACAAAATGGCAAGACTATTTTATTCCTGAATATAGATGGAAAAGTCCTAAGCAAATTTAGCAAATTTAATTCAGTTGTGAATATGGATAAAACACCATGACCAAGCTGTATTTATCACAAGTTTACAATGCTTTTTAAATAAACTTTTAAATTTTAGAATCATTTAGACTTACAGAAAATTTGTGAAGATAATAGAGAATTCCCATATACCCCATACCCAGTTTCTCCTACTAATATCTTATATTTGTCACAATTAATGAACTGGTGTTGTTACATTATAATTAACTGAAGTTCATACTTTATTCAGATTTCCTTAGTTTTTACCTCGTGTCCCTTTTCTATTCCAGAATCTTATCCAAGATACTGCATTACAGTTAATTGTCTTATCTCCTTAGGCTTCTCTTGGTTGTGACAGTTTCTTAGACTTTCCTAGTTTTGGGTTATCTTAATAGTTTTGAGAATTATTGGTCAGATATCTTTTACAGTTTTCCATTAATTTAGATTTGTCTGATATTTTTCCCATGATTAGAAAGGGGTTATGTATTTTGGGGGAAGAAGAACACAATGATAATGTGCCATTCTCACCATATAAATCCAGGGTGTATCATGATTTATCATGTTGATATTGACTTTGATCACTTGGCTGATGTAGCATTTGTCATGTTTCTCCACTGTAAGGTTACTCGTTTTTCCCTTTTCTGTCATAGTACTCTTTGTAAGTCACTGTACAACTCTCACTGAAGGAATTACGTTCTACTTTATTGAAGATGTAATATTTACTTACATTATTTGGAATTATTTTGCATGGGAGATGCGTCTCTTCTTAACCATTTATTTATTATTCAATGACATTTATATGATTATGTACTTATGGATATTTATTGTGTACTTGGAATTATAATCCAATACTACTTTATTTTCTTGATCAACATTTTCCAGCTTCATTCATTGGGAATTCTTTCAACTGACTCCTGTGTCCCTTTGACAAACTCCTGTTATTGGGTGTTGAGTATTTTTTGTTGTTGGTTTGTTTTTGTCTTGTTTTGAGCACTTTCTTATTTTCTGATACCAGCAGGTGCTTCTGCTCACCTTGTGAAAAGAAGGCAAACAAACCAAAATAAAAATAAACAAGTCTTGAAAAATACTTCACAGAACAGGAAATTTAGTTGGCCAGTGATCAGGAAAAGGTGCTCAACTTAGAAACAAAGGAAATAAAAATTAAATTTATGAATATTAAACATCTACTAGATTAGCAAAAAATGAAAAAGATCTGGTAATACCAACTGATGGGAGGCAATGATATGGAGCAAAGAGAATTCATACATTGCTAGTTAGGCTGCAAATTGGTAGAACTACTTCTGAAAATTTGACATTATCTTAAAAATAATATAGATAAGCATATGGAGATATGCATGCCCTTTGACTTGGAATTTTTCTCACTGGTATACTTATGTTTCTGTGAACCATGGTACATATTCAAGAATATTCATAGAAGCTTTGTTCATAATAGAAAAAAATCTGGAAACAACCCAAGCATTCAGCAATAGAAGACTGTGTAAATAAAGTGTGGGATAACATACAATTCAATACTAAATAAAAAATGAACAAACTAAAGCAACATGTGACACTTTGGATGACTCTTAAAAGTAATATTGAGACAGGCAAAACACAAAGGAATATAAAATACTTAATTCCATTTACATAAAGTTCAAAAACAGGTAAACAAAATAAAATTGTTTAGGGATGTATGCTTAGGTAGTAAAACTATAAAGAAAAGCAAGGACGTGATCACCATAATAGTTGAGATATTATTTTAAATGGTGTAGAAAGGATTTGTGATATAGAAAGGACACAAAGGGGGCTTCTGCTTGATTACTGTGTATTGTTATTGTACTGTAATTTATGTTTTATGTACTTTTCTATTTGTCATATTTTTAATCAAATAGTTTTTAAAAGCAAAAACACAGAGTTACATATATAAAATCTGAACTTATAAAACTGGTTAAAATAACTATTGTGTACAATTACTCAGGTTTGTTTGTAGATAATTTTATTTTATTTTTCATATAAACAAGGAAAAGGGGATGGAATGTAATATGTACAGAAGGATACAAATATTAGTTTAACCAAGGGTAAGGGGAGGGAAAGACAAGAAGGAAAAGAGAAATGTGTCCATAAGAAAGACAACAGTATGCATGATATAAACTTATATGTGTATATGTATGTATGGGATATATATACATCCAATACTGTAAAAATATTGAAATTCATTCATTAATATGTTAATGAGAGTTCTAAGTTTATATTTATCTATAGTGCTTGAAAATTTTTACTATAAAGTGTATTGCTTAAATAACTAGAATTTAAAAAACCATTTTATCATGAGGAAGAAAAAAAGTGAGACAACAGTAGTTGAATGTGGAATTTTGGACAAGATTTTAGTGTCTAACATAGTTTGTTCTATTGGAAAGACTTTATTGGAGATCTAGTTTCCCATCTTAATGGTATACACACACAGATGCATACATGCACAGATCCAATTTTTTTTAATTAAAAAGAAATTAAGTTCATTGCCCAAAGTAAATCACCTTAGAGATCAGGGGGGTAGAGATTGAACACCCAGGACTACATGATTCTAAATTTCATGTTCTTTCTGTAAAGCTTCCAATAGAAAGGAGATCCCAGTCCTCTGATGATGTAATTCAGGTTGAATGGAGAGCACCAGGGAAAAACCTAGGACTAGGGAGATTTCTAGATATTTGTATCTATTTTTTTTTGGTATTTAAAAAAGAAAATGGCTTTGGAAGTGAAAACACTTTCTAGGAAAGCAGTAAATCAAATCACTGATATTTTCCACCTTCCTTAGGACTCCTTGGAAGAGAATGAAGAAGGCATTGATGACTTAGTGTCCTCCAGGTTTTCTGCAAACACCCACAGCCTAGGAAGTGGGCTGTCAACAGTAAGCAGTTCTCTAGCATTTACTAGAAGTTTCTTCTTTCTCTTGTTGATTTTTCTGTGCATTTTCAAAGGGAATAGGAGTGTTTTGGGGGTGACGTGTTATAGTGATAGTCTCCTGCTTGCCTTTACCCACAGAGTACTTTTCAGTATAATTTTGTATGGGCTTTTTCTAAGGCTTTCGATTGCTTCCCTCTCCTTCCTTAGTCTTCACACAGGTTTTAAAACCTCTTCAATCCATAATTCAGGCTCTTATCAGCTCAAGCCTATACATTATCTCAATTCTCTGCTGATACCTCTCTCTGCCACCATGGTCTCAACTCCCCAGTTGCTCTCCACAGTACTGCCAGTCATTCTCCTAAAACACATACTCAGTCGGTTTCTCTCCTACTCATTTACTGTCCATAGCTTCCCACTACCAACAGAATAAAGACCCTTCTTCCTTTAGTGTTCAAGGCTTTCCTTAAGAGGTAGCCTTCAGGAGTTTCTCTGACCTTGTACCTATCTATGTGCCTGTGGGTCTTTTTCTTTGCTTTTCTAGTTTCTGTCTGTTTCTCTAATGTCCTTTTTCCTTTTGACCTTTGGGCAACTTCCTTAAAGAATTCTCAAGCAGGATCTGACAAGAAATGGACCTACCTAAATGTACCTGATGCTGACTCAGACACTGTGAGTTTTCCATCTTTTCTTTTCCTTCACACATTTCATGGTATGGGGAATCTGATTACGTGGGCAATTTTTCCAGCATTTATCTTTTTCTTACTTGTGTTCAGTTAACCAGAGGTTCTCATTTAAAAGGTAAATTACATTATCAAAATCCAAGAATTCCTCAAAAAGAACATTCATTAAACATTAGAATATGAGTACCAGTCAAAAGACACATGGCCCAAAATTATTTGCCATTAACAAGATAACTTTAGAATAAATATCTCTATTTTAAATCACAGCATTGGCCTGGTTAAGAGCATGAAGTTTGGTTAGTAGTAAAATTGTCTAAACTGCCTAAATTTCTCCCAAGATTCAACATTTGTGGATTCTTAAATTTTCTTCCATCTGTAGGGGCCTTCTGCTTATAGAGTATCTTGTTTGCATAGTGGCTACAGAAGGATATGGTGAGTCATAACTTAGTGATACAAGGAGGTAGTATGAGGTATGGTAGGGAAGTCTTCAGACTTAAAATCTGGAGATCTTCCTGTCTGTCTTGGCACTGCTAACAATTTCTGGGAGCCAGAATTTTCTAATATATAACATGAGGAGGTTGGGACTTATTCTTGATGGTCTTGAAACTCAAAGCATGGTTCATGGACCAGCAACATTGCAACAGAGACTCTAAAACTTTGTCAGCTCAGGGAGCCCCTAGTATCTCAGTGATACTTTCATAGTACTCCTAGACCAAAAGTAATACCTGACTAGCCAATTTATTCATTATTTAGGTCAAAAAATTTAATAAACACTGGTGTTCTAACAACTTAGTAGCCATTTGAAAAACAGCACACATAAATTGAGAAAAAAATAATATTTTATTCCATTTTTTAAATAGCCTCTAATACTTACTAATGGGATGTGTGTGTCTGTTGGGCACTACATGAATTGTCAAATTTTAGAATCTGATTGGACAGCACCACTTAATTTCTTAGTCTATCTTGATTTTTGTGCAATATGTGCTTTTTGTCACAGCAGCTGTCAATAAGGCAGCTTCACACAGATAGGACCTCATTGCAAAGAATAAAATGTGATTTAGTTTTGACACTATGAACTACTGTTAGTAGTTTGTATCATGTTTGATAGATGTCACTGTATTTCTCTTGAAATTTTAAAATATGTGTGGTGCCCCTGTGAGTTTGCTGTGGCATTGTGGGATGCCTGGACACACAGTTTTGAAACTATGGACCTAGTAGATTGTTATAAAAACAAAATCTCAGACCCCACTTGAGACAGAATAGATCCTAGTACTTGTTTTAATAGATCCCCAGGTAATTTATATGCAATTAAAGTTTGAAAAGCATTGCTCAGAGCCACCTGTTAGCATGACAATTCTACTGCTTTATTTTAGGAATAAGAAAGACAAATTAGGTCACTCACTGGCTCTCATTAAGTTATGATTTCCAAGTACAGCCCTCCCTCGTTATCCACACCATTTGGAACATGTGGATATGGCTGGATGACTGTAATTATGTATCCTTGTTTGCCCTTGCCCTTGACTTAAACTTAGAAGAGATACTAGCCATCACCCGATTAGTCTCTACTCTGAGCAATTAGAAAAATGTAATGACTTTTGTTTTATATATATAGATATATATACACACCCACGTATATACACACACAAAATAACATATACACAGGATGGAGCAAAAGTCTATTTAAAGTTGTGAGTATGTGAAACACAAAGTTTATTCTTGTATTATGATTTATTAATTGTTGTGTTATTTTCCATGAGAACAACTGTAAACGTACTTTTCCCTCTCCCTATACATATATGAAAAAGTGGAAAGTCAAAGCTGTCTTCGCATTTACCATAGTTCTTACTTCTCAGTGGTTTACAGACAAGACTTTTGAGACTATTGGGTTATTCATGAAAGTCTTTCAGGTGGTCTTTTGTGACAGTTGTATTGCTAAGATACAGAGTTAGTGCTTTTGGCACTAAAGGCTAATTTTGTTACATTTGATTGAAAGCATGCCTCTTGTCATTAGTCACTCATCAGAAACTTCATTTATTCTGGTACATTTGGAATTTTTAAAATTTTATTTAATGGCTGGTATGTTACTTTATTTTTTAGTGTTCTATTTTGTGGGTAGCTATTTTATAGAGGTTTAGGAAGCTAAGGCCTTACGTTACTTAAGTGGCCACACAGCTGCTGAGGGGTGCCCTTGTTAAAGCTGCAGTTATGGCTTTCCGGAGACTAATGGCATGCTTTCTGGAAGTGTCTTAGAGAGAAGTTTGTGGCTCCTGTTAGTACCAAATATAAGATGAGCTTTTATTTATCCTGACAAATGCATCGACCTTGAACCTTCCAGTGAAAAAGGAGAAAGCTGCAGGGATTTAGAGAGGAGATGGGATTGGAAATGCCTCAATGACTCTGTATTCATTTAAAAAATGAATAAACAAAGCCTATTCACTAATGCAAAAGGGCAATGCTTCTCCTCTTAGCAATTTTCCTTCCTTCCTTACTAATGGTCCTAGATCTTGTTGTCCTTTCCCAAGCTTGGATTTTATACAATACCAGAAAAACAAGCAAAATAAGTAATATTTGCTTTCTTCCTTTTTCCTAGACTTCCTTGCTGATTATAAAGAACAAGGATTATAAATGCATGAAAGAGGTGGTTTCTGTGAAGAGATCATTAGTGTAACACTGGATGCCTCTTTTTATATTGTTTATTCCAGACCAGCCTTAACAGCATGATGAGTGTTTACAGTGAAACAGGAGACTATGGCAACGTGAAGGTCAGCGGTGAAATCCTTCTCCATATCAGCTACTGCTACAAAACTGGTGGGCTCTACATTTTTGTCAAGAATTGCAGAAATCTGGCCATAGGAGATGAAAAGAAACAGAGGACAGATGCGTAAGCACATAGCAAATCCCTCAGTTTGTTTCAATCTCTGATTTTTTTTTGTCAGTACCTGAGTTTCTTTTTCAGAAGATTCTTAGCATTCTTCCTGATTCAGAGCCTGCTCTGAAGGTTGATTGTCACTTTCCTCATATGCCACCCTTCTAAATATTATCTGAAGTGCATGTATAATGGTTGTGTCTGTGGTCACCTGATTGTTAAGAAGCTATTACTCAACGTGACTTAAGACTGACATATTTGTTGTTTATGTAGAGGCAGCTCTTTGAGATAGAAGGCTGACACACTGGCATACTCCAGGATGATAAGAGTTAATTTTTTGTTCTGGGAAACCCTCCAAAGAAAAATACCAAGCTGTTAGCTCAGTTTAACAACTCAAAAGGGGTATAATTTTGAGGCTCACAGGATTCCAGGGATCAGCCTGGGAAGGCAGATGTGGACCACAGCACTTTGAAAGGAAGCTGGATATAAAAATGTGTGAGGGGTTCCAAATACCACTGCCAGGTTTGATGAGGACTCCACATGTCATAATCAGCAAAGGGAAGAGGCATATGTGACAAAGTTTTGAAGAATCCAGGCTTAAGCTTCCAAAAGTGTTCTCTCCCAGTGGAGTCACACAGGATGCACTTAATTCCTCTAGCAACAGGTTGTGACAACACTTGTGCAATGTTGTCTGCCAGGGAAGCTCATTTAGAGATTCAGCTAGTCACATACCAAAATTCCAGTCTTCCAGAAAGAAAGCAGATGCTCAGCATAAGCCATATTGTTTTTACAAACAGTTTAGTCACAGTGACTAAACTATATCTGTTCTGGGAATGATGAGAATCCTCCTAAACTCCAAGTGCCCAGATGCCAGCCAAAGACCAACCTTGCAAGCAGTCATTTCTAAGGATAGTACTCTCAGGCCAGCTATGTGACCCCTTTTCCATATACAATACTAGATGACCTAGGTTCAGTAAACAACTCAGCAAAGCTGCTTTCAAGTATCTTAATATATAGACAAATGAATAGATTCTGAGTGTAGATTGGTCCACCTATTTCCTCAGCTAAGTATCAGAGGGCTTCAGGACAAATATTATCATTTAGACTAGCATGGAAAGGGGTTATCTAAAGCCCCAGCAGATGTGCTTCAGAACTCTGGTAGAATCTTGTACATCTTATACATTTCTGAGTTTGCCATGATGACCCTGCTCCAGGAGATTCCTGGGATAGTTTAAGTCAAGGTGTTGTGTAGAATTGCTATTGTCACTTAGGTCGTTATTTTCTATTTCCTCTTTTTCAACATTTTCCTTCATTCAACCATTACCATTAACTCCACTCATGAGAAGTCCTGACATTCCTCTCATGAATAGAGAGGAATATAACTCCATAATATTTTACAGGACCAATGATCATAACAAAAGATTATATTTATTCTTGAGCTGTATAATATGTCAGCTCCTTGTATGTAGCAACTGGCTTAATACTGACAATGCCATAAGTTAGGTACTGTTATTGTTCCAGTTTTACAGATGAGGAAACTGAGGCTCAGAGAACAATAATAAAGTTCTTGAATTCACCAAAATTAATAAGACAGGGAGTGAGTCAAACCTAGTTGGCCTGACTCCAGAGCCCATACTCCTTACCACCACTCTTCCCTGCTTCTCTCTTATTGAAAGCCCAGAGTTGTCTTTAAGGTGTTCTGTTATGTAGACTTTATTCTTTTCAGTTCTGTCTCTTATGTTTATTGGCCTATTCCCTTTACTTCTTTTATTCACTGAATTTTCTGACTATTTCTTGGAAAGTATGTTTTCCAATAAACACTTTCATCTTTTATCATCTACAGTTATGTCAAGGCGTACCTCCTTCCTGACAAGTCTAGAAACAATAAGCGCAAGACCAAAATCAGAACAGGCACCAATCCAGAATTCAATGAAACACTGAAGGTAAATAAATAGTCTCTCATAGTAACTCAGTGATATTGTTCACAGTCTCAATGAAATATAAATAACAGAGAATGTGCATGTCAAGCTTATGTGTATTTTAGAAAATAGAGTTTGAATAAATTAATGTAATACTCCTGGCTTTCCTAACAGTTTTTGGAAAAGAAAAAATGTAGACCACTCTTACTCTGTTTGTTTCTCTGCTGCTGCTAAAGTTGTACCTTAAGTAGAGGTGATCCAGCAGAATTACATCTGAGCTGGCACATCTTGTCTCAAAAATGTGTTTTTCCATTAGGAAAACTGTTTGTTTTTTTTTCTTTTAGTTCCCACAAAAGGAAGTTTGTCACTTTGGATACTGACCTAGCAGGTCACTTTGTATACAGTTATTGTTTTGCTAACATAGCATGAATATGTGCTGTTTCTTGTTAGGTTTTCAGAATTTGGATAAATTTAGGCATGTGGTTAATGAACAGAGGAGATGCAGAATTAGGTTTGAGAAATATCAGAGAACATGGCCTAGATAGAATATGACCCATGCCTCAGTCCTAGAGAAATTCCTTTTCCCCATGGGCTTCTAGGTAATGACACGTTCTCTCACTCTGAACCAATCTAGCCTGGTATGAAAGATCCAGGGAGACTGGAATGTAGACATTATTGCCAGTCACAGGGAAATGTATGCAACCGCTGCCCGGAGTGATGGATTCAAAGTCCACTATAGCAGGGAGTTGGTGAGTGGGGGCATGTGTCAGTGGGTTCATGTGTGGAAGCAGGAGCCAATATCAAGACAGATCAAAATGAGAATGAATAGTATAAGCTGAGATTGAATCCAGTGGTCATAGTAGCAGAGCAGAGCTGAGCTCACACAGAATAGATAAACAGAGTGCCATGGCAAATCCAGGAAGCAAAGAGCCGAGATTAATCATGCCAGGAACAGCAAAGTACAGGTTTAGATGCAAATTCAAGATCAGGAATCAGTCAGTCTAAAGTGTGTTCTAGGCTGTAGTTGCATAAAACAAACAGAAGGTTTGAGAGTGTATGGGGATGTGGCCCTGGATAACATTCTGCTGGAAAAGGAAAAGCTATCAGAGCAATATTTTCTTTCTGTTCTTTCCATATTTATATTATTTATATTTATATTTTCATCCTTGCACTTAGGCTGGACTCTATGAAGTTTGGTGTTTGGAAGTATCTCACTGTCAAAACATTTTTTTTTATTTGGGAATTCTCATGAATAAAATAAAACACAGAATTTGGAGAACTGATATTTTAAACCTCAAGCTTACCAAATAGAAGTTGAAAAGCTAATTAAGCAAATGAAAACCAAGTTAAACTGGAAAGGGGACAAGCTTCATCTCCTAATACTTTGTATATAATTTCTGAAGTTTATTGACTCCCCCCTAAATATTTTTTGATATATATTTCAATGCTAGGTCTAACACAAAATGAGTTTATGGAATAGAACCTCAGTTGTAGCAGAAACAAAAAAATAAAAATCAAGTTTTTTTGTGTTTGCATTGTGTGTATTACTAATGCATCTGATCTGAAAAATGGTGGAAGTAAATTTTTAACCTGCTCTAAAGTTGGGCAGAGACTTCCATGTGCAATGTGATGTTGTCAATCTTATTTACAGTACACAATCAGCCATAGCCAACTGGAAACAAGAACACTGCAGCTCTCTGTCTGGCATTATGATCGTTTTGGCCATAACAGCTTCCTCGGGGAGGTGGAGATTCCTTTTGATTCATGGAACTTTGAAAATCCAAGTGATGAGTGGTTTGTGCTTCAGCCCAAGGTAAGAAATGCTTCCAGATTAGTCAAACACTTATGCAAAGAGTCAAGCTCTAAGTCAAATTGATGTCATTGGCCTAAAGAATCTTATGACTTCTAAATTTCACAGAATAATATGAAAGAATAATACAGCTCATTTTGGAATAATATAATAAATATAAATCTATTCTTTTGGAAATCTTCAATACAGACTGGCTGTATAATGCAAACTACATAATATATATTATTAATATGGTTTACTAAAAATGTATTCATCATTTTGAGGTCTCTATGGATAAACAAAATGAATGCATGATTTGATCCCATTAGAAAGAAAAAGCAGTCATTTCCACATGGGCAAACACAAATCCTTAGAGCAGGATCAGTCTCAGACATTCTCTCTGTTTCTCATCCTCTATAATTCAGGCATATGCAGGAGTGGTCTTGCTTTGGCTTACATGAGGAAGTGACCAGTAGCCAATGTATCTAGCTTCCTAATTTTCTGCTTTGGAGATTCATAACCCAGGTCTTGAGTTATAGTCAGAAAAACAACCTCAAGGCTGGTTCTAGAAATTGACAATATAGTATGTTTTAAACCAAAGTGATAGTACCTTGGATTCACTCGATGCAGCAGGAGTCTTCCTACATGTACAATGACGACTTAAGAGTGAAGTGAAAAAAGGTCAAATTTACATAACCAAACAGTTTTCTTTATATAGAGAGGCAAAAAAATCCCTAAATGATGGTGAAGATAATGGACTTAAACTTCCTGTGTTCAATCCTGGCAGTTTCACATGTCTGTTTGACTTTGGGCAAATTCCTTAACATCCCAAGCTTTGGCATTCTCATTTTTGATAGAATAATTAGACGTAGCTTATAAGGATGCTGTGGGGCTTGAACTACATTTTAAGTGATGCTCACAGTATTGTTTCAGGCACACTGTAAGCTCTCAATAAATACTAGATAATATTTACGTTACATTGCAGTCCTTGTGCTGACATTGACAGAAACCCCAGCTCATATTGCTCAAAAAGTAAAAGGAAATTATTGGTCAGTGATTATCAAGCATTGCTTGACCCAGATGCTCAGATATTATCAAGGGACTGGAATCTCTTGGTCTCTCTTCTCTGTGTTGACTTCATTTTCAGACTTCATGCAGTGTTCGTCTCTCTCACTAGCTCCATGTATGCTTCTTTTGTACACTACAACAGCTTCAAGCCTCCCATCCTTGCACCACACTGTCAAGGGGAAGAAAGAGTTGTTCCTTCTCCAATAGTCCAACCAGTACTCAGCCTAATCCTAATTATATTATTTGCCCATCCTGAGCTGACACTGTGTCTAGGGAAGTGAGCTATATTGACTGGTTTAAGACAATCAGAACATACCCTGGTCCTAAAGGTGGAATTGCCCCAAATGAAATCCAGGTACAGTAGTATTAAATTAAGGGTGAGTGGATGCTGGACAGGAAAAAAACAAAGGTTGGGCATCAACAGTAACAACAGTTGTTGATCATCATCAATAGTAAGATTGTTCACATCTAATGGTTACAACCACCATTGTGAGCTAAGTTATCATTACCCTCATTTTATTTGAGGAGTCTGAGACTCAGAAATTAAATACAATTTTCTAGTGGGATTTTATAAGTGTTGGTCTCAAACATGGTGCAAATAACTAATGGAAAATCTTTAAGAGGTATAATTGGGCTATGTGTGAAAATGACAAAAATATAATAAAAATATTTAAACATAAAATAACTGCAAGCCCATGACTAACAAATGTGATAGTGATACAAAGTACAATAACAACAAATAAATCCATGATAGCATAATATTCTTGTGACATTAATTATGGGAAATATTTGGTTGCTACAGCACTATGTCTCTTGCAATTGAATGAAAAGCCTCATCATAAAGGATAGCACATAATTTGACTTAATTTTGTATTAGTTCATCCTTGTGTGTATGGGTAAGCATCATGGACTCATATTAGAAAATGTCTAAGGCATCATATGATGCATGACACAGATAAAGGATGAGTAACATGCATTTTAGTACATGAAATGAATTGCTCTGTCATAAACTCAACATTAAAGCACATTGGAGCTCTTTGGAAACCAGCTTAGAGTATTTCCAGTCAGTTTCCTGGAAATGGTTGCCGTGGGATATCTAAGCTCTCCCAGGCCTCTCCCTGGCCTCTCCCAGGCCGCCTCTGTACTCAGGAACCAACAACTTTTCCCCATAATCACCTTCATGTTGCCATTGAGTGGTTTTCTTTCACTTTCTATTTTTATAAGAGAGAAGCATCTCTCTGAGTCTGCTCAAGGTAGAGAAATTCTGATTGTGTTTAATGCCTGTGGGATGCAGTTGTTTCTCTGCCTAATAACCTTGGATTCCATTCACCAAGTCTGTTGGGAGTTCTAACAGCCTCCACCTGAGACTCTCTTTAGAAGGCTGTCCTCAGGCTACTATGGTTTTTTTCCACATGGGCAGAAAGCTAGCACCTAATAGGTATGGTGGGAGAAGAGGAGGTCTGAAAGCTCAATCCCCTTACTGAGTGTAGTAAAAACTCCGAGGCATTACTTATATTCCAGAGCTTTCCTGACTTATCAGTCTGTGCCCTTGCCTGGTTTCACTGCCCCCCACACCTATTTTTCCCTTCCCTTTACTGGTCTATCCTGGAGGACTTTCGTAGTCACTTGCAGATAAGAATCCTCCCTAAGAGTTCTTTTCTGGGGAACCCAAAATTAAGTTAGTGCCTCTAATCCATGTCATCTTTCTCTGCCAAGCTTCTTCTGACACATATGGAGGAAAGGCTGCAGGTTTGGACTTACTTGGCCAACATGTCTTCCAACAATGAATGGGGTGGAAGCCCATGCCAAAATCTGCTCTGAATGTGTCCTTCCCTTTCATTAGTGGCTCATTCGCAGGCTGAGCTGGGCTCTGTGTAGTGGTTGATTAGCAAAAGCATCACTTCATTCCCAGTCATTTCGCTGCAGTAGTCACTTCAGCAGCAGCTATGGTATGAGCAGCCCCAGAGACTTGATGTTTCTTGTAGAGTATCCAGCTGAGGAAGTGAAGTGTCAGCTACAGGAACCAATTTCCTTAGTAATAGAGGATCAAGACTATCAAAATTTATACTCCCCCAAGCTTTTGGAAATATAGATATGTTTTCACAGTGGGAATACTGGGAATACATAGTCCCTTATTTCTTATTGACTCAGTTAGTGGAAGTTCCTTGACACTTTTCTTTGTTTTAGCTAAGTCTTACAGCACTAAGCTGGTCAGGAGGCTGATACAGACCCAGATAGAACTTAAGATGCCAAACATGCTATAAAGTAGTTTGGTGGTATAATTTCCTGCATGACATGGACTTGCTTAGTAGTTATAACTCATTATTTTTCTGAAAGGCATATAAGGTAGTTATATAAGAAGGGTTTGTTAGTACAAATTGCCAGTCGTGTATTCCCAGAAGGTGCTATTATAAAAAAACTAAGACCTTTGAAAATCAACAGCAAGCTTAAGTGGTTTTCCAAAGAAAATTTCTCTGTCCTGCTTTCAGACAGTGAATAAATGTAAATTCCTGTGGAATTATTACCTAGCTAAAAGGTTGTCTCTGTTGGGCAGTTTTGGCAGACATTTGTTTATAATTTATTATCCCATCTTAGGCCTGTAAATACACTGGGAATTCTGCATCCTATTCTGATGGAAAGTAGCTTTCTCTTCAAAAAGCAGAAGATAGTGGACATTATCTGATTATATCATACCCCTGCTCAGATACCCAACTGCTTTTAAGGTGGTTTGAATAAATCCTATCCCTCACCCTGGAACTCCATGCTCCCTTGATATGGCCCAGCCTTCTGTAGCAAAGGCAGATGTTGCTGCTCTTCCCATATCCCCATTTTTATGCATACATGGCTGCCCATGGCTTTCACTCCCACCAGCCAACACTTGCCAGTCTTAGTAGGAGAGGAGTCCTCAGACTGCTGGAGTGGTTTTGGTCTGTGAGCATGAAAAGCCTGTGTATTTAAGTCTCCTGGGTGTTGACGGTAGAAGGAACATAAACACTCTCACTCTCTTGCCTCTAATGGGGCCAGCTCTGAAGTGTGGTCTGTCTTGTTTTCATACCTCCCCTATAGGACTAAGCAGAAGTTACTCCTCATGAAACTTTGCCTGATACCGCAACTCTGTGAGCCTCTTTTCCCTTTCTGATCCCAATTCCCCACTCTTCCTCCTAATAAAACGTTATGACATAAGTTCATGTCTTACAGTCTTCTGGAGAACCCAGAACAGATACCTTGTTTTCATCTTCCTTGCTACCATCTTCCTGTACACACACCTCTAACCACACCTGACTTTCTACTAGTTCTTACAAATGTTCTCCACAGTCCCCACTGTATTTTGTTCATCTTGCTTTCTTGAACTGAACTAACCTTCTTCCCACTCCATATTCATCTAGCATCTTCTCTCTTATCCTTTAAGGACCAAACAAGAGCTACCTCTTTATCCCAATCTGGATTGCTCTCTTTCTTCCATCAATAGTTTTCTTTTTGTACTTAATTGGAGCAACTTTCATTGTTCGTGTGACATTGAGCTTGCTTGTGTAGTAGAAGCGTAGGAGAAGACTTCCAGCAATTAGGATCAATTAATTAAGAAAGTCACATAAATCACACACACACACACACACACACACACACACACACACACACACAAATGCATTTCTTAAACATTTATTTTAACTTAAATAAATGTACATTGATTTTCAAGTTCTCTAATATAGGGGCAATTCATTTTCTATGAGTATGGTTTTAGTAGTTAAAATTCTATGATATCTTCCTGGCATAAATTCTACCCCTAATGCATCATCATCAACAGTTTTTAGTTTGAATTTCTCCAAAGGGAAACAAGAATTTAAGAACACTCTCAAAGTAAGCTGAATACAAAACCTTTCTAAATAATCATGATTTTTTGTAATCTTCTATAACTTGAAGCCAAACAGCAAATTTATTTTTAAATCTTTAGTTTTTCTAGAGTAGTCAACTTAATTTTCATAGTAACAGCTATCTTTTTGTACTTTTCAGTTTATACAATATTAAATTATACAATTAGAACCACAAACATTTCTACCTAGCATAAAGAGCTTGGGAGACTTAAGAAGATGACTCTTGATGAGCATGCAGTTCAACTGATGGAAGCAGACATGCATGGCCTTTGTAGAGAGGAGCCTGCTCTTCATTGGGAATGGAGAGCATTAGTTAACCTGATGAACTGGTTAAATAAGGGCAGAATAAAAGAACTTCTACTTCCTATATGTGTCCTGGATAGACTGAAAACTCAATGAAAGTAGTGTCTGTGTCTTGGCATCCCCACACCATGTGGCAAAATACCTTAAAAGAAATACTACAAGAAGGCATTTCATGTGTGTTGGTTGAATTTAATTCTGTTATTCTTGTCTGAGCAGGAGTTAGCTGGTGGTGTACAAGGGGAGGATGGTGCCTTGAAATTTCCTTGCAAGAATACCTAAAATGTCCCCAAGCATTAGATATGTGCAGGGTGCAAGATGACTCCCTCCTTTCATTTTCTTTTGTATATTATGATGATGCTACAAGACTTCATGTTTATTGTTCTCTACTTTCACAAGATTTGAAGACTATTTATATAAAGTCACTAGTATATTGTAATTTAAGCAAAAAAAAAAACACCCAAAACAATGGAACATCAATAAATCTCAATAGTGCATGTTTTGATCCCTACTAATACACTATATGTTAGTTTGTGATACCTGCAACATATCACTTTTCTACCAATATACTTTCCTACCCAAAGATCTCAGCTAAAAGCAAATACAGCCTGCACCCAGTGGTATAAAAATCTATTCTAAAACATTCCCCTGTTGAAAGACATCTAGGTTGTTTCCAGTGTATTACTTTTACAAATAAAGACAATAGAAATATTTGTGTACAGATTTTTATGTGGACATAATCTTTTATCTCTCTGGGATAAATGCCCAAGAGTGCAATTGCTAGGTTGTATGGCAATTATATGTTTAGTCTTTTAAGAAACTGCAAAACTGTTTTCTAAAGTGGCTATACCATTTTACATTTCTACCAGCAATGTTTATGTGAACCAGTTTTTCCACAATGAATTTTAATGATGTGTATTATAATGGGTGGCAGGCAGTCCAATATGAATCGAGCATTACTGCCTACTTTCCCATTCTTAGTCATTTAGGAAAGCATTGAGACATCAAGGACAGACAGGAAAAAGTGCCTTATGGTTCTATTTTCAGTGACATCTTTATCCCTGCCTCATACCCCAAACTATCACATATATATGTTGAGTGATGGTCTAGTCTTCAATGCATCACAGGCACTATCTATTGACTCATCAAATGTGTGTTAAACATCTCCCAAATTCATTTTACTTTAACATTAAAAGTTATATGAAAATGCTTTCATAAAGTTTCCAGCCTCCCTTTTCTCATATCTAAGACATTTCTTAAACCAGTAAGTGCTAACATACTTGAATGGAAATGGATTGTCACATTTAAGCCACCGATTAAATGTGCAAACATGGACTACAAAATAACAAAACAAGCATTCTCACATTTTCTTTTCACATGTTTCCCCTTGGCCAGGTGGAATTATCTGCTGACATTGGCCTTCAGTACAAAGGAGAGTTGACAGTTGTTTTACGTTACATTCCCCCAGATGAGAACCGGATGTTTCCAGCAGGACAACTTCAAGGTAAAGTAAAAATCAATGTCTTTCATCAAGAATATTCTGTTCTAGAGGTGTGGGAATAGGGATCAGGAATTGTTTGGACTATGTTACTTTTGCATTACACATATGAAATATATAGGTTTAGGTGTCACTGACTTTCGAGGAGAGTTGAGAAGTATATACTACATGTGGGGAAAGGTGTGGGATTCTAAGTTCATACTTAGAAACCAGACTTAATGGTGAGATTTGCTTCCTGGAAGTCCCAGAGATATAGGATCTTCCCCAGGGTAGAAAGGAGGTGTAGCTAGCTGCCATATGGGTTTATGACATTCATATCTACTCAGTGAGTCTTAAGGAAGAAGTTGATCTAGAACACAGAATGTAAAGGAAAAATCCACATGGAGTCAACTTTTAAATCTCTCTTGCTTTTGTCCTCCCATCAACTCCTACAGGCAGTCTCCTGTGTCCTTCCATTCACTATCACCCTCTTTATTGTGACCTTGTGCAAGTAACTTACTATCTCTTGGTCTCAGTTTCCTTACTTCATAGAGATATTGCAAGGGTCAAATAAGTTCATTCCAGTGTGGCCCAAGCAACTCTCAGGGTCCTTTCCATTTTATTCCTTTATAACATGTGAAAAGATATGTGTTGTAGGTTAATACTTAAAGTTTTAAATTTATTTGTTCATTTTTTTCCTCAACAAACACACGTGAAAGACCTATCTAGAAGGAATCCGATGGGGTAAAAGCACTTAAATAGCACATGGAAAAATCAATAATATTAAGATGTGATTTAATCAATAAATGAAATAACTGTTAGTAGAATTTTTGGAAATTTTGAAATAGAACTCATGCTCTATCTCCTTCTTCCTTCTCCTCTTTTTTCTCCTCTCTTTCTCTCTCTTTCTCCCTCTCTCTCTCTCTCCCCGCCCCATCCCTCTCTTCCATTTTGATTAATGCAGAAAAGAAGACCTTTAAAAGAGGAAAGAAGGAGCCACCCATATTCTCTGGAGGAATACTAGAAGTGTTCATCAAAGAGGCAAAGAATTTGACAGCTGTGAAGTCAGGAGGCACTTCTGATAGCTTTGTGAAAGGGTAATTTTTAATTGTTCATTTTAGATGATACTTAGTGGGAGATGAAAGGACCTATGACCCACAAGACAGTGGTGGCTTTGAGGCTTCTTTGAAATGTATTAGGAAAGAGCTACCCTTGAATGGTGGATCTTCCATCTAAAATAATATGAACATAGAGAGAACTGTTTCTCTAGCTTTCAGCCTGCTTCCAGCATATTTCAAGATTTTCCATCACTCTCAATTCATAACTGGGAAATTTTCCTGTGCAATTAATTTTTTGAAGGAGAAGAAAATATGTTTTATGTATAATATATTTTTATTGGGCTTTTATCATTTGGTGCTGGCAATATGCAAAAACAACGAAAATATTGGATACTTGGGATTTTGCTGTCTTGGGGGAAATAGTAGAACGTGGATTTGCCAGAGCATTCTCCCTGGAGATACCCACTGGAGAGTACTTTGTGGAAGGTCTGAGACTGCTTCCTGGGAATTTGTGCCCATTTTATGGAGTGCGGGACAACTTCTCAAGGAAAACACAGACTTTTTTTAAGGTTTTCATTTATTTATAGAGAGAGGGAAAGGGAGGGAGAAAGAGTGGGAGAGAAACATCAATGTGTGGTTGCCTCTCATGTGCCACCTCCTGGGGACCTGGCCCACAACTCAGGCATGTGCCCTGACTGGGAATTGAACCAGCGACCCTTATGCTTCACAGTCCAGTGCTCAATCAGCTGAGCCACACCAGCCAGGGTGAAAAATACAGCCTTTTAAATGGACATTCTTGCCCACTCTAGGCAGCTTAAATGATGAATATCTCTTGGTTTTTATTTGAGATTTTCTTCTCTAACTAGAGGAACTAAAATCAGAAGGGTATTTTTATTCATTTGAGCAGACACATAAATGTGCATGTACCAAACACTAAGTACTGCAGTTTCAGAAATAAGACATAGTCCCTGATCTCATGGAGTGCCAAAAACACAAGGCCAAACAGATTCCCGTGAGGTTAATTCTTTGAGTCAGATGTCAATATTGTTCTTCTTCCCAATCCTTCTTTGAAAAGTATAAATTTCCCCACAAGGAAATGAGTCAAGCCTTTACTCTCACACATTCTAACTTTGATAAGTCCAATAATGAGAACCAGATGTCTTACACGTTTCTGCTGGTGAGTGTATATATCTGAATCCTGGACCGTCTGTCCTTTAATCTTTCTCATAGTAGTGAGGTACTTTATTTGGATCCTGACATTATGATTTGCCTCACCAGCTCTGCCATCAAGTTCAGGCCTCTTCCTGCTCACTGTCTGATGGGATGAGGGGATGGCTCCCTGCCTATGCCTCATTATGGCTTCACAGGGATGACTTAACATCGCCTCTAATAGTTTTCATTTTATTATGTTAAACATTTATGAAGCAAAGTTAACAAAGGACAGTATCCTTCTATAATATATTTAAAAGCCAGTAACCTTCTAGTAAATTCTTTCCCTAGTTACATTTCAACATTGAGATGATTTTAAAGGACCTCAGATTTTTATAAAAGAGCATTAAAGAGCAAGGATAGACCCTTATATAAAGTTTAATATTATAAAATATATTATTTAATATTAGCTCTGTGTGTGACCCAATATAACAGTGGCTTAAACAAGACTAAAGTCTTTTTTTTTTCTCTTGCATGTAAGCAAAGATTAAAAGTAAGGTATATAGGGCAGGTGTGGGAGCATCATGATAATCAGAGATGGAGGTTCCTTCTCTCTTGCTACGGTGTTCACCTCATGGGACAAGATAGCCAAATTCCATCTGGCAAGACACTCCCCAGAAGTTCATACAAAATTCTTTCTTATATCCTATTGGCTAGAACTTAGTCATATGACTGTACTAGCTGTAAGGGAGGCTGGGGAATGTAGTCATTATTCTAGGCAATCTTGTGCCTAAGTAGAAAAAAAATGAAGGTTTTTTAAAAGAGAAGAATAGGGAGAGAATGAATATCGGGAGATAAGTACTCTCTGTTTGGTACATGAAATGAAATCTCAAGTATAGCAATGTATCCTCTTTATTGTGAGGTCATTTGTTTTGTGGCACTTTTCTATGTTTGTTTGATGTACTAATTCCATACCCATGTGCCTTCTTCCCTAAAGCCTGCTCCCTGATTCATTAGGTACTTAGACCCTCATTCTCTACTATATTAAAAAAACAGGGCTGTGACCATGGTAGAGAAGGCCTGGAGTGCAGGTGTTTTATTTGAGAAGAGAGTCCAGGAAGCACCAGCGACAGAGTAGAGAAAATGAGATGGAGAAGAGGGGGTGAAGCTGGTAAAAATATGTTTTAGGAAGTATACTACCGTGGGCAGTTAGGGCTCAGGTCCAATTGGGAAAGCACAAGGAACTCTGGAATGTACTTTAGGAATGTCCCTTTAGAAAACAGGGAAGCTCATCCACTAATTTCCAAAACTCATTGGTTGAGGGTCACTCTTAGAGACATTAAATCCCTACTAATCCCAGGACTCTGTACACATAAGCTGAGTTGGCTCACACAGCTTGAAAAAGTCCTTAACTGGAAAAACCAAGAGACACAGCTCTTAAGGATGGAAGTTGTCAGCGTGCTGGTTTCAAGTCAACTTACAGGTGGGCTGAAGATGATAGGAGGCAGAACACTAAACACTGTATACTACAGGAGGCATTTTCATTTCAAGATGAGGGAAGGACCAAAATAGGATTAGAAAAGAGAGTGTGGACATTTTACTATTGCCCCACCTAAAAGAAATAAAAAAAGCATACCACTAAATAAATCCAGATTTTTGCATATAAGAACCTGGGAGAGAGAAAATCCAATACATGTATCACACTTACACACACAAACACACCACCAGGAATTATGGGAAATTGAAATACTACTTAAGGATGCCATTTTCTGCCTACTGTCTCACTGATGGCTGGATTGCATTTTCTTCTGCAGCTACCTGCTCCCTGATGATAACAAAGCCACCAAGCACAAAACTCTGGTAGTAAAAAAGAGTGTTAACCCTCAGTGGAATCATACTTTCTTGTTCAGTGGCCTGCATCCCCAGGATATACAGAATGTTTGCCTAGAGCTTACCATCTGGGACAAGGAGGCCTTTTCCAGCAACATCTTTCTGGGAGGAGTTCGTTTGAATTCTGGAAGCGGTGAGGGACTAGAGGACCCTGAGATGGTCTGTGACTGGGCATGGGGCTGGGGAGTGATTCCTGAAGGTGTGATATGCAGTAGATATAAATGCAGTTTCAACTTAGCTGACTCCTGAAATTTCCACAGATGCTTTATGCCTTCAGCCAAGGATCTGTTCATTTTTAAAATAAAAATACTACTACAGAACTTTCTATCCTTCAACTACAAGTTTGGAATGTGTAATTTTTATATTCATTCTTTTCACAGTATATCATTTACACTTTAGTATAAGTAAATATCAACTGCTTTTTTGGGCCTTACTTTGGGTTTTGCTCAGGAGAGGATTACCAGAAAACACAGGCTTCTGAGAGGGGAGATAAAGACTTCCAAGACCAAATTTACTTGATTGTCTTCTCACTTCTGTACAAAATTTGCAGCTAGTACTCACACTAGTTGAAAGGAAATAATTTTAGTGTTTTTCAAACTTGGAAGCACACCACTGTTGCCATAGGACACAACTATAATAGGGAGAATTAAGGGAGAAGTTATAGTGGAGCACATGCAGCCCCGTCCCCCGCCCTGAAAACTCTCATTATCCTACTGTTTGGGCCAGACATAGATGTTCTACATGTACCATAGTCAACATTCCTGTTGAAAATGACCCCACCCCTATGATGCTCTACTTATTTATAGATTAAGGAGAGCCAAGAATATCTATACCACTGAAATGAAAACTCCCCAGGTCAAAGAACTGACCTTGTTAGATAGGAAGAGCCACAGAGCCCACTTAAGTCTGTTATTCTGTCATGTTAACTCAGTCTAGATGAACCAGCTCTCCGCTAAAACTACAAAAGTGGGGAAGAAACGAGCCACTAGGGCCATTCTGATTGTTTCTCATCATCTAGGCAGAGGAGAGTAATGCAGACTGCAAAAGATGTATTTTATTTTAACACCACTCACTAGACCTATGGTAAATGAGAACAAACCGGTGAAGCATTCTGTGGTTAAAAGGCCCCCTCAGAGGTTAACTAATTGATGTTTTCGAGAAAACCAAAACATTTCATTTGTGAAGTATAATATTCCTCTCTCCCTTCTTTAGGTGTGAGCCATGGGAAGACTGTGGATTGGATGGACTCTCAGGGGGAAGAGCAACGCCTTTGGCAGAAGATGACTGACAATCCTGGGACTCCTGTAGAGGGTGTACTGATGCTCCGTTCCAGCATGGGGAAGCGTCGGCCCTGAAGGTACCATTCTCCAAAGTGAGGCTTCCTGGGACTGTTTGGCTGCCACTTCCTACCAGTAGCAGGCTTGGGTCCTGGGATTCCTCTTCCCCGGCATTTCTCACTTGAGGGCATTAGGTAATGAGGGGAGAGATGTCAGTGGGATGAACCTTTAGGGTCATGCTGAAAGTCTAAAAAAGCATGTACCTCTATATGTCTAAGGGCCAGGACCTTCTTGATTAGATGAAAGAAAGTGTACCACATTTTTCTGTCAAAAAGCAAATCATGCAATTATTTATAGGTTTTATACCATAAGGGAAATGGCTGGTACAAGCTTATTTGACACTATAGTTGAGATTGGGAATGCCAGACTTTTTCAAGTTATTAGTTACTTTGGGTTTCCTCAAATGTTTTGAAGGAAAAGGAGACCACTCAGAATGTAGATCACTTGAAGAATAAGAAGAAGAGATATTGGCTATCCTTTCCTTACCCTGGGAATCCCCATGATCCAAAGAAAGCACGTGGGGATGGTTGCTGGGACAAGAGGGTGGCGCTGTTATTTTAGCAATCTTGTGGCTTACCCAAGTAAGTTTTCAAGTTTTTATGTGGTTATTATATAATTTATAATCTAAATCAGCCCACTTTTGAGAGTGAAGTGAGCTAAACCATTATACCAGAACAACAGATATAAATCAGGATTGGGGTGGGAAAATTGGGATGTAGGGTCACCCTATTTATGATCTAGCTATTAGAGAGCTCTGTTGTAAACATGTATTTTATAAACTGTTCCAATCTATTAGCTGAAAGGCAATAAGAAATAATGTACATTTTGAGCCTTGCTTGTGTCATGTCTATTGATATCCCATTGGTCAAAGGAAGTCACATGGCCAAGCCCAAAATCAAGAGGCAGGGAAATATGTTCTGCTCACAGTGAAGCCATGGCAAGAGTGAGGGTGCAGGAAGGAATGAAAAATCATGACCAATAGTTCAATCTACCATACTTTCTGTTGCCTAGAATTACAGATGCTTAAGCCACCAAACTTAGATGCAAAGACAGTTAAAGCTGAAAAGGGCCTCAGACCTGGTTACTTATTTTGCAGATTCCAAGTCTGAACACAGAACTGAAATGACTTGCCCAAGATCATATAGAAGCTGTAACTGTATTCGAACTTAAATCCAGTGTGTGACTCCTAGGCCAGTGTTTTTTCCACTAAAGTCCTTAGTGCGATCCTATTCTTATTATGGTGGACAGGAGGACATAGATGAAGGAAGGTGGAGCAGAGTTTGATTATCTGAGTATGAACATACTTGACCTAGTCTTCTTCTGGAGTCATATTTTGGCCCTTCAGCTCATTTTTTCACTTGAATTCATATAACATCCTTAAAAGGACAGAAACTGAATTTTAGTAGTAGGAAAACTAGAATCATCTTCAGGTTTATTCTAGCTCATTGTTCCATATTTTAAATTTCTTCTTGAATTTTTGAAAACAGATTTAAGAATATACATAGCATTATTCTTAGTAAGAGAATAAGCAATCAATTTTAATATTATTCAAAAATAGATTAATTCTAGAAAATTTAAGTTAGTGGTCTAGTGTAGCTTAGTGCATATGATACATTGAAAACATTTTAAAAACTCACACCCATATCCCTATGTTACTCTTCTTAAAAACAGAAAACAAAAAATGTAACAACATTACTATTTTCTGTATGGGAAAATAAATTGTCATCACACTTGATATGATTCATTCTATTTTTCCATAGCATTTTTAGGGGAAGCTAGAGGGTGGTGATGGTAAAGTCTAGAGATATCTCTAAAGTAGGCAAAATGAAGTGGATTTATTCACTAATAATGAAAGTGGCAAAGTAATAAATTCCACAATTTATAACTAGAACTCAAGACAAACGTGGACATTGCATTCAGACCTTTGCCACATTTAGAGCAATTCTCTGTATCATGATTTCATAAAAACCAATTTCTAACTGAGCATTTCCATGATGCAAAACGCAAGTATGCAGAAATCCATCAGAAGAGCTGAGGGAGGGAAGGTGGAAGGGGGCAAGGGAAAGAGGGGGGGGAAGGCAGAGACAAATGTATTTAAAAAGTAAATAAATTAATTAAAAAAAAAAGAAATCTGTTGATGTTGCTCTTAGAAATAAAAGGCAAATTGACCTTGAAGACACTTTTTTTTTTTTTTTTACTAAGCATGGTGTAGAAGTACAAAGAACATTTAAAAATATTGGTAATAGATGTGGATGACGTAAAATTTAAATAGTTCAAAGTTGTGAAAAGTCAGTCTTCCTTCCTGCCCTTGTATATCAGAATATGTTGACAGCCTGATTTTTTTATGGCTACAGGGTATTACATTATAGGGATATATCAAATTTATTTAACCAGTCCTATCAAATGCCATATTAAATATGGTTAACGAAACTGTCTGCGTTTGGTGGCTTTTCTAAGCAGTCTTTTTTTCCTCAAAAATGAATACTATGAAATTCAAAATGTGTGTGTGTGTGTGTGAGAGAGAGAGAGAGAGAGAGAGAGAGAGAGAAATGTAGCAATTTCACTTTGGGGTATTTATCCTACAGAGATGGATACATATGTGAGAAATGAGTACACACATAGCACACACATTGCAAAAGATTGGAAGCACTTCCAAAGCCCATCAATAGAAGCCTTCTGTCATACATATTTTATTTCATTAGTTGCTCCCTCTCTTTCCCCCTTAAGATTGTTAAATGTTAAACATTGGATTTTTTGCTGCTTGTTCTTTCTTTTCTTCTCACTTTCTACACCCCCTCAGGCATTATAATGTACTATGCTTTCATGGTTTTATGAACATTCATATGCTTATGACTTCAAATTCACTTCTCCAACCCAGATCCTTCCTCTCAGATCCAGACCCAGATCCAACTGCCTATATGACATCTCCACCAGGATAGTTCATGTTTTCAACATATTCAAAACTGAACTCTTCACTCTACCCTCTCCCTTGCAACTCAGGTCTTTCTATTCCAGTACATCCTGACTCAGTATCTGGTACCATCATCCACTCAGTTATACTAAGTAGGCACTGGGTAATAATCTTTGCTTTATGCCTCTCCCTTGCCTTGAGGCAAACTCAATCAGGAAACCATATTGATTCCACCTCCTAAATATCTCAAAAACTTGTCCAATCCTTGCTATCTCTGTGCCACCACCCTAGTCCAAGCCACCATTACCGCTTTCTATGGTTATTCCAAGTCTCTTAGCTGCTATCTATGCAGGCACTCTTGCTCTCTGTCAATCCATTCTTCACACTGTGGTCAAATTTCCCCAACATGTTATTTTAAAATGTTTAAACATACAGAAAAGTTGAAATGATTTTACAGTAAACATTCTTACACCCACTACCTAAATTCAGCTTCTACCATTAGTTGTACTTGCTTATCATTATCTAGCTGTCCATCCCCTGATTGTTCTGTTTAAAAAAATGCAAATCTGATGATGCTTTGAAGCCCTCCATGGCTTTTCATTACCTTGAAAATAAAATCCAAATTCTTGCTCATAGCCTGCCAGGCCCTGCATAATAAGGTGGCTGCTGTCTCCTCTCCAACTTGTTCCAGGCTATGCCTCCCCTCCCTTTCCCTTTAGTCACACAGTGCACTTTTCTGCTTCTCAAATGTGCCAGGCTCTGTCCCATCTCATGGCCTTTGCAAGGAATCTTCTTGTTCCTTGTCCTCATCAGCCTGATATCTATTAATCATTTAGGTCTTAAATGTTACCTCCTCAGGGAATCCATCCCTGATCATCCTCTGCCTCACTAGGTCATAACAGCCTGCCTCTATTTTCCCTTTATGGCACACATCACAATTATACTGAATTATTTGTGTAATGAGTCCTTTAAGGCCTCTGTTTGTTCCTTCCCTGCCACACATCCCTAGAATAAAGACAGAGAAAATATTTGTTTTTCATAGCTATATTCCCCGTGCTTAGTTCAGAGTGGGTGATTAAAAAATGTTGGCCGAATAAGTTAAAATGAAAATAAAAGTAACATTTTGAATGTTAGACCCATAGGCATCGAGAGAGAGAGAGAGAGAGAGAGAGAGAGAGAGAGAGAGAGAGAGAGAGAGGAGAGAGCGAATGAGAGCGAATGAGAGCGAATGAGAATATCATTGTTTCTAACTTCCAATTAACAGATAAGGAAACTGGAGACCACACAGATCAAGAAAAATCTCTGAATATGCTTACTCATTGGTCTTTTAAAAGGAAGCTTCCTCAAGCACTGTAGTTACAACCCTAGACACTTCATCTCAGCCTGTGCTGGCATACATAAAAGCACAGAGTACGCTCTCCAGCCCAGCGTATCAGCTTCTCAGAAGAAGACCATGGCCTTGCCTGGAGCATCCTGCTCCTGGTTTGCAGATATCGGCTCTCAATTTTCCCTCAGTTGAATCAGACAAGTTGTAATGGGACATGGGCAAGCTTAAAAGCCTGACTTTATCAATTCATTGCATAAATAGCACCCGCAGGACATGTGGAAGATTCAGTTTATAAGTTTTCATCTCACTTCAGTTGTTACTGTCTCTGGAGTCATCAGAATATAGATTTTCCAGGCCACAGCAACACCAAAAATAAAGATATTTTGATGGGACTTCATATTCTTTGCCTCCTTTTTCTTAAGAAACTTACACAAATATATGACCAATGATCATTACGTACTTAAGTAACTAGCAAATGAAGCAAGCCCACCTGTTTCACAGTAACATTGGTCTCATTGTCACCCGCTCACTGAAGGTTTATATCTGGTAAGGAAGGAGAAAGCAGTGGAAGAAATAAGGAGAAACTCCAATTTTAGAAGCAAAGTGGATCAAAATATCAAATCTCAGAAGCGCCTCAGCGTGAAAGCTTATGGCATTTTGGGCTGTGATCAATGTTTGTCTTTTCTTCTATGTGTATGTTTCATGATAAACTGAACATTGCTTTTAGAAGGTGGCAGAAGGGTTTTCTTCTTACAATGATTACATTTATGGCCTCTGAAATTAAAGAAAAGAAACAGGAGGAGGAAGTCTACACAGACAACACTGTAACAAAAGTTGGATCTGCAAGATTTAAATAATAGCCATGGAAATTGGGCCACAACATTTCCAAAGGATTATCTGAATCATCCTGGATGTGAATTTCATACATTGATTCCAGAGCATTGCTCCAAACCTACTAAATCTCCAGGAATCTACATTTTTATCAAGCATCTTGGGTGATTCTAATACAAGTGGATCACAGTTTGAGAAACACTGCGTTAGAGGACAAATTATCTTGACTATGTTGTTTGGACCAACTCTTATGTCATGATGGCAGATTGGATTTGACTAACCTGGACATTATTAGTTGCAAGGCAACCGTGATGAAGTGAAAGGAGCCTAATCTTGAATTCAGATGACCTTAGCTCAAGTCTTGACTATTCACCAACCATGTGACCTCAGTCAAGTTAATTGTCCAATCTATGTTTTCACCTATTTGCATGTAAAACAAGAATAAACAGGCTATCTTGGATTAACTGAAGATATCAAATGAGGTAATATATGTAAATATGCTTTGTAAATTATAAGCCACTATGGAAAAGAAGGTCATTATTAGTGAGCTAGTTATAGCACTCTGTGGTTTATAATCTCTTAAGCCTCTTTTCCTGGACCTTAGTTAGACATTAAGCATTCTATGTACAATGAATTGGTCTCCAGTGTACAGCAAAAATACAAAAAAAAAATACGTGCTATGTTACCCGTTGTGGGTGTTGGTCATTTATTTATTTGAAGTAGGAATTTCCTACTTCATCTCATTAGATTATAAATATCACAAAAAGTAATTAATTTTAGGGAGAGAAAAACTGTGGTCAGTTTTTGTTAAAAGGTTGTGGAGACTGCAAGCAAACCATCTTTCTTTCCTTTTCCTTAACACTCTCTTTCAGTGTAATATCCATCTCTTTCTGTGACCCCATGTCAGCAAAATCAACCTGCCTTCCTCACAGGGATGTTATTCAAAATCATGCTTTTTATCTACAGAAAGAAATTTTGCAATCTATCAGGAATACAAACTACTGTTCTTATGATGAGGAGTGCATAGTGTTTCAAAGATTATCAGTTGCACTTCATTTACCTCACTAGAATCCATCGAACTATTCTAGTTGAGGGTTCCTTTCATATTTGGAAAAGGGAAGTAGAATATGCAGTTAGTATTACCTATAACTTACAAAACACTCATATAGAACAGAAAATCCTACTTCTCTAGTTTTTCTGCACAAGAAGAGACTTATCTCTGTTTTGCCTTTTTCTTTCTCTGAATGAGACAGAAACTAATAAGCAAGCAAATAAAATATTTCATTATAATAGTAAAGCAAAAATTTAAATCATTGGCATTTACTGAGAAAAAATGTCTCCTGAAGTATAGGCCAAAACTAGAATCCAGACATTTTATTTTTACCCCTTCATTGTTCAATCCAATTACTTTGGGGAAGGAATGGGATTGCTCCCTCCAAGCATTTTTTTTTTGTTTTGTTTTTTTGTTTTTCCTGCTTAGCCAATGGTTCATTTTGTCTTCAGAAAGTTGAAATTTCTTTGTGCAAATCTATGGGAATTGATAAGTCCTCACAGTAGAGCTTTTTAAATCTTTCTCATTGGGAAACAACAAAGGTATCCATTCTATTATAAAAACAGTTTTATGTCCATCATTTGTGGTTGAACTACAGTTAGAGTGATTGGTGGTTGGGGATATATTTTATTTTCCATCCTTTCCTAGTATTCATTATTCATAAGTGGACATTTAAAAAAAGAATCATTGGCTTTCAATTGCTGTGAAGAAAGAGAAATGAAGATGCTCTTGAATCTCCTTGCTTTTGACACTCCTCACCACTTTCAATTAATTTGTTCACCTTAATTCCTGAGAGATGGGGTGATACCAGAACAGCAGAGGATGCTCTTATTGCTTTTTTGCCATGTGGATTAATAGAAATATTGTTAATTTTTACCTCTTTCCTATCACCTTCTAAGTCAGCTCTGTTAGGGCTATTTGCTTGCAGAATTACTGAATGCACAAAGCAAGGTTGTGGTAGGGGTCCGGGGGCTGCCCTGGCCCTTCCCAGGTGCCAAATTATAAGGGGCACTAAACATTCCTGAAGAGTTAATGAGGTGAACTTCTCTCAGGAAGAGTCTGCTATTAGCAGGAAGAGATAAAGTCTGCTTGAGCAGATAAGGGAGGGGGACCCCATGCCTAAAGAGCAATTTATGGTTGATAAATTCTGAGAAATACAGGTCTAGTTAGAGGCAGGCCTGTTGTTTTGCTAGTGGGGTATACAGTTTGGGCCAGACCTGAATTGCTAAGCACATAGGGAAAATACATGGCTTATCCACTGGGGATTTCCTTTGTATCCCTTCTACTAGTCATGTGTGCCTCAAAATAAATGTTGTACACATAAATATATCAAAAACCTGTGAGAGTAGCTCCACATCATCAGAATAATAATTGGCCCAACTCAATGCACTCAGTCCCCATTCGTGGATTAAGTTGGTTGTCGTGGGCAGGCCTGAAGACAATGAGTCCAGGGGTGTAGTGTGCTAGAGAAGGAAGACACTCTTTCAATATCTTAAGAACAGTTAAGGATCTCTGGGTCTCTGGGACATTAGAATGGGGCTCTCCTGTGAACAAATAAGAGGGATAATTTTCCAAAATCTGCCAAAGGCTGGTCATCTACAGGTATGTTCATTTCTGCTTTGTGCCTGGCACCTACTTGCCTTGGATGCCAGTTCTTCTAAATTCCTGCTCTGATAAGAAGGTGGCTTCTGTGTTTGATTGTCTTTAAATTAATAAACTTTATTTCTTAAAGCAGCATTAGGTTTATAGAAAAATAAGGCAGAAAGTACAGAGAGTTCCCATAATACTGCCCTTTCCTTCCACAAGTTTCTCCTATTATTAATATCTTGCATTGGTGTGGTACATTTATTACAATTGATAAACCAACATTGGTATGTTATTATAAACTAAAGTTCGGAACTTATATTAGGATTCATTCTTAGTATTTTACAGTTCTATGGGTAACACACTATATCATGTATCCACAATTACACTATCGTACAGAGTAGTTTCACTGCCCTAAAATCTCCTGCATTTGAACCCCTGGCAACCACTGATCTTTTTGCTGTCTCTATAGTGTTGACTTTTCTCAGAATGTCATATTGCTAGAATCATACAGTATGTAGCCTTTCCCTTCTTGCTTTTTTTCACTTATCAATATGCATTTAAAGTTCCTCCATTTCTTTTTGTGACTTGATAGCTCTTGTTGTTGTGATAAGAGCAATTAACATGAGCTTTACCCTATTAACAAATTTTTAACTGTATGATGCATATCTTTTCTTTAAGTAAAGAGAGAGAAAAGGATGAAAAAACTCTAAAAAAAGAATAATGATTTTTAAAGCACCTTGTCTACTTCTAAGCTTATGTATGGAATATATACCCTAGACCAAAGCTTTGTGTCACACTGTATTTGCTGCAAAGTGTAAAGTTTTCTCATTAAATTCATTTTCCTAATATCTCTAATATGTTCCATTACAAGTTATTCCTGAGTACTTTAAGATGGGTTATATATATTTAAACACTGATTGTGTATCATTTAGTCCTCCTGTTTTCATATTTATTTCTGTTTGGAGAAAAGCATATTTGCTGAATTGACACACAGATTGGATGAGTGTCTGGTTTCTGTTCCTAAGACTAGGATGATGTCGAACTCTTCTTGATGCCCAGCTATTGAATATGACCCTCATATTGGTTTTTGGTCACTTACTTTCTGTAAGTCTGAACCCTGACACCATCATTCTCTTTGCCCTCCCCCTCAACAAATCATGGATAATGACACAGGGATGGACCAAAAGTGAGATTTATTCAGCACCTACTATGCAACAGGTGCTTTACAAATTGTGATCTAATTTATTGGCTTAGTTTAAAAAAGCCAAAGCACAAAAAAGACGTGAGTCTCAGGTTAAGCAGCTTGCCCAAATTTACCCAGCTAGTATCTAACAGAGCCCCATTCCACGTTGGGATTCCTAATTCAAATCCCAAAGCCCATGTTCTTTGTACTTTACCAAACTGCACCCCAGATAGAAATTCTGTCCTTGTCATGAGCTGAAGATTTGCTTCTCAAAATGTGATTCATGAACCGGCAGCATTAAAATCACCTGAGAGCTTGTTGGAAATGAAGAATGTTGGGCCGCAGCCTATACCCACTGAATCTGAATATTCATTATAGCAAGATTCTTAGTTGTTTTGCAAGTGCAATAAACTTTAAGCACTGGTGTAGAGATTATGGCAGAATAGACCTTCAGATTTAAGGTACTTGATATTTAACGCTAGTATCTGTTAGTTGTAGTTAATGTAACTATTGGCTTAAGACACACCATTTACCAGTGTTTGAGCATTTTTTCTTTCTCAGTTTTGATTGCTTCCCATAGAAACATGCTTGGTGACTAAAATCTTTTTTTTTTCTCATTTT